TCAAGCACTTGACACTCCACTGACTGTATTGTTATTAAAATAATAACAGTAATATTTATTGATGTTTTATATAAAAGCAGTACCAGTTCATAATAATCAATCATCATAATGTTGAGTCATGTTAGATGAGAGAGAGAGAATTATACTGTGAGAGCCAGCATTTTTGGAGTTAATCATAAGTAAGAAATCAGCAAATTAATCAGACAATAGAAAAAAACTAAATGGCACATTCCTCTACCAAGGCCCAACAGTCCCCTGGAATTCAATCAAGCCACATGAAATTGCACACACTTATAGATAAATATGCCTGCTTTTTTCATCTAGATCGATGCATTCTTATCTGGGAAATTGGTGAAAATATCAAAAGAATGCAAATCTTGCAATGTTCAGAAAATAGTGAAAAAGAATCTTCTGGTCCAGATAAGCAACAACATATAATGGGTTCTTCCCGGACCCATACCTCATCATTCCAGCAAGTGTTGTGGTAATCCATCAAGTAGTTTGTGTGCAATGCTGCTAACTGACAAACAACCTAACAAATCCAGATGAAAACAGAACCTCCTTCATGGAGGTAATAACTACTAATTACATCATCACATTTCATAAACAACATCCAAACGATCTGTGTGTGTGTGTGTGTGTGTGTGTGTGTGTGTGTGTGTGTGTGTGTGTGTGTTTGACTGATGCAAGATCACAAGTTGTTTAAGAATCTTTCTCCAGATGATTTATACAAATTTTATTTGAGTGGCTTTTTATTTATTTGCTTTTTTTCATCTGCCTTTTTGTCCTTCTTCCCTCTTGAGTGATTAAAATCTGAATGAAGACAGAAGACAGGTTCTACTGCCGTGTCAGTCTCATCTTTTTTGCACCCCCAAGATCAAAGCTCTTCCTTCCTGTCCTCCTCTTCCTTTGGCTGCCATTTCCATCTGTCCATCACAGAGAGTATATTTGGCGGTGCTGCTTTTGTTTCAATTTACTTTTTTTCCCTAATTTTCCTCCCTCTCTCCCTCGTGCCCTCTCCTATTCACAGGATACAAAGGTAATTCATGCCAAAAACTTAATAAAGGCCTTACTGTCCCAAAATCCAATCACTTTACACTCTGCTTTATCTTTAATTTTCTTTGATTCCGTTTTTTTTAAGTCATCCTATTTTTCCAGTTTTGTCCTCTTCTTGTCCTTGTTTTTCTTTCAGTCCTTAGTACAACTCAATGTATCTGTTTGTCTTATTGCGTTATACTTCTGCAGTTACTTCTGCAGTCTCAGTTTTTAATTTGTCCTGTTTGATTTTCTCCAATCACATCATTATTGTCCCAGTCTCTGATTCTCACACACAAAACAAAAAAGAAAGAGACGATGATGCACGCACGCACATAAACACAAACACATACCCAAGGTGTGTGACTCCTGTTTTGTCTTGCATCCACAAGCCTGTTATGTATATATGTCTTAATTCAGCCAACTGCTCTCTGTCTTTCTGTCTTCCATATAGCTATCTTCATTTCCATGTCTATTTATTTCTCTTTCTCACCCTCTGTCCCCATATCTTTACTTCCATCCCTCATTGTCTCTCTCTTGCGAGGCTATGCTTGGTTCTCTCTGTACTCTCTGTTTATAACTCTATCTGGTTGCCAGCCTCAATGTCTATTCTGTGATGGAGGAATGTCAACACAAGCATAAAGTATAGCCTTCGGAGGCATGCAGTCCAAAACCCTGTCCTCCCTATACTTTGTGTGTATCTGTCTACCTGTTGTGTTTTCACATGGATTTCTATTTTTTTTCTTCACTGACTCGAAGAAACAGAGCAGTGAAAATCACTTTTTGGACAAGCTGCTATCCTTCTCAGCTGGCTGGATGTAAAATCTCCTAAATATCTTATTAGACTTCACTTGGACGATAAACTTTGTAAAATGAATTTTGAAAATGTTTTGCTTCTCAACTTTGGAATAGTTTGTTTATATGCCCTGATTTCCCTCCTCATATTATGTAACAATAACATATTATTTCTTTCCAAAAGTCCTGCAGCACACATCAGCAAGTTAGGCTTTAGGAAATCTTAATGATTCATGTGAAACTACAACATCAGTGCATTTCACCGAAGGCTGTCTGTCTGTCAGTCTGTGTCCCTCACATGTGGGTTAATGGATTGATCATTTGTATATGTCTACCTATCTGTCTTTCAGTCAGTTCTTCTGTTGGAGAAAGGATCATCACACAGGCTGTATGCCTTTATACACATCAGAACTGAACAAATATGGGTTTTTGAAGTCTGGTATTTTTGGACTGAAGCTGCTGACAGCTTTTCTGCTCATGTGCAATTTGTTTAAACCTGAAAACTGTTACTCATGCCAAAAAACAGGCATTGAGTTTATCCTGAGTCTGACATGAAATTACCTCTGAAACAGCATTTAGACCTTAGAGCATGTTTTTAACAATTATAGAATGTTTAAGAGCTGTCAGTGGAACGATATTAAGGATACTAGAGATTTTTTTTTGTTCACGAACAGCTGATTTAAACCTGTTAAATTCCAAACCATCTCAACAGACAGTCACCCCTGACAACTTAAGTTGTGCTGTTTGGCTGGAATAGCCTTCCATTATTTAGCTTGTATGAGGTTGTGTCACTACCACCAGACAGATGCAGGTGTTGGTTAGAAATGATATTGATAATGATAGCAAAACTGTCATACTGAGCAGTTCGGCTTTGCTTGGAGTCTAATTGAAGTTTGACATTGACACAAAAGTAAATACCCTCTAAGTATTTTTAAGAGTTAATGGTGAGCCATTCTGTGTTCAGCTGTTTCTCAACTCAGGGCCTGGTCAGACAGAAAGGAAAGTGAATTTCCATCAAAATGTCTGCATGTGCCATGGGTTAGGCACCAAATAGCAAATTTACTACCTCTACAGACATTATTTGTTATCTATAGGAACAGACACACTGACTGTCTGTGGGACTGTGTCTGTGTTTATGTACAGGTCAGCCTCTGACTGAACCCCAAATTATCTGATCACTATTATCACTGAAATATTTTGAATTTTCATGCGGAAATATGTCTAATGGCATAATTCTATTGACTTTGTATTCAGTCTCATAATCGCCAGTACTGCTTCACAAATATACATGGAATTTTCTCCTTACATTATACTTAAAACTGCTGACTTCTATCAGACCAGAGTATTTATAGAGTATCTTAAGCTGAGCATCTAAGCAGTTCCCCTTGTACTCTGTCTTACCAGTAAGCAACAGCTACACTTATGGTTGAATTTACATATGACCATGAAGACAATATAATAGCTCACACCTCTTACATGCATAATTACAATCTAAGGATATTTTTGCACATGGAGTCTATTTTCCCCATTGTGGGCTGTGAACACTGTTGAAATGCTCATCATGAACAGGAGTATTGCAAAACACTGTTAAGCTGCTATGCTGTTTTCACCGAGACATTGTAGACCATCTGTCCATCCATTATCTACATGGCTTATCCTTGGATATTGGGCAAGAGGCAGGATACAGCCGGGACAGGTCCCCAGCGTATCCCAGGGCCAATAACTAGAGACAGATAACCATTCACACCTATAGTCTAGACTCTCCAATTAACCTCATCTCAATCTGCATTGACTGCAGGAGGAAGCTGGAGTACCTGGAGAATATAATAGACACAGTGAGAACATGCAAACAAGCAAACTCCACCCTTAAATCAATGCCAATTCAAGAACCTTGTTGCTGTGAGGAGACAGTGCATACCACTGCACCACCATGTTCCCCCCAATTTAGACCAAACATGACGAATTACAACTTGATCTTGATGTAATGATCATGAATTAGTTCTTGGTTTATTTCTAGACCAAACTGCATGTATGACGTGTTAAGTAAAAATGTCTTCAGCCTCAGATGGATTTTGTTCAGCAGAGGAGATTTATTGTGCTATCATGGTCTCATTGCTGTTTCAGAGGTGTTTTCATGCTGAGAGGGAAACATTGAATATGATGATCTTTTGGCAGGAAGCTCCAGTACTTCATCCACCTTCAAAAAATGTTTTAAGTTTGAAACCTATTTCACCTCTTGACCACCTGTGACCCCATTTCCCTCAGTCACATTGGTCCCTTTCCAAATGTCTGTCTGTTCCCTGTGTGCAGAGGGTTGCCCAGGACTCTGCAACAACAACGGACGATGCACTCTTGAGGCCAGCGGCTGGCACTGCATCTGCCAATCAGGATGGCGGGGAGACGGATGTCATGTAGCCATGGAAACACTCTGTACTGATGGCAAGGACAATGAAGGAGGTATATATATTCATATATGTACATTCACTGTAAGTGTGCAGATAGATCCATCTGTTTGTGAGTCATTACATCTAAAAATGTTTTATCCTTGTTTTGGTCTGGAGTAATTTAAAGCTGCAGTTATGCATAGAGCTGAGGAAATAAAAATACCCTAACAGCATCCAGTCTGCAATCCAACTGAGCCCCCATTCTCACTTGACACCAAGTAATACAACAAAAAACAATACAGTGAAATGCATTGTGCCAGAGAAGAAATCGACTTACATTGTTGATTAGTGAATCGAATATGTTGTATCAGTTAGCAGGACAGCTGTGGACACACTAAAACCATCAAGTGGGTGCTTCTTGGGTCTGAAAACAATATTTGACATGTGGATATTTGTGATATGGAAGAAACTGTATTTTCTCTTACTGTGAACTGTTGATTACAGATTAACAGACAGTATCTAGAGCAAAGTGTGATTTCATTCCATGATGGATGTCATCACCTACCTTTTTAGGTCCCAAAACACCCTTCTCAGGTTTGTTGATACAATAACTTATGTGTTTCAGATGGCTTGGTTGATTGTATGGATCCAGACTGCTGTTTGCAGCCATCTTGTCAAACCCAGCTATACTGCAACGGGTCACCGGACCCAGGAGAGGTGCTCAGTCTGTCTCCGTCATCTTTGGCTCCTCAGCAGGTAAAAAGCTCAAATTAGAAACTGAATTAAAAAAAATCACAAGTATTATTTTTAGGTAAAACCTGATATGATTTTCAGTGTAGAAAAATATGCCAAGTAAGGGTGACAGGAAGCATCATCACTCCATCTTCTTATTTCCTGTTATCTTTCTTAGGCTGCGAGGTCTTTCTACCAGCGCATTCACTTTCTAGTGGGTCCTGAATCCACCCATGTAATCACCGGAGACAGTCCATTCAATAGAAGGTAATTATGTCTCTGTGGGTTTTTGTGAATTCAGGGCATACAGCACCATCTGTACACTGTGACTGACCAGACAGATGTCAACAGACTCAGTCAAGCAAACACATTTCAGACCATGTAATTGTAAATTAATCTACAGGTCATTTCATCAAGTTTATTTCTATTGATCATGTTCACAAATCACAATTTGTCTCATAATGCTATTGTTAACGAAGAGTTTATGTTTATGTTGTCTAGTGTATTTGCTGTGCAATTTCTCAATGCAATTAGTAAGCTTTGCTTGCGAATACAAATAGTTAGGTTTTAATAATTGTTGAAACTGGGCTTTTAATACAGTTTTCATTACCAGTGGATTTAAATGAAAAGTAACAAGTTATAACCATCAGGTTTCATGTCCAAACTTACATAAACAGGATAGATTATGATGTAAGTAATGTTTCTTTTAATTCCTTCTCTCTTTTTCTTTATTGTTTCAATTTCTCACTCATATCCTGACACTGTGGTGCCATTGTGTGTGTGTGTGTGTGTGTGTGTTGTGATGCAGTTACCAGATTTTTGGTTACCAGGTTTTTGTAAATTGTTCAGGCTGTAGAATGCCTTCTCCTGCACCCTAGTCGATAAGGTTCCCAAATGCCTTTGGCAAACATCACCACGTCTGACATCATCCTATAACCCCTGTGAGAGCATCAACCTCCCTGCTTGTAACACTACCTGACAGTGTGTTTAAAGTCTAAACCCATGTCAACCTCTTTCCGTGGCTCCTTTACCAGTACTGCTGAATCTACATCTTCATATTCAGTGGTGTTTGGATAGTGACTGACAGATCTCGAGCAAATACACATTTCTTTCTACAGTGATCACATCTAAGCAACTAGATGGGTTTTTGCCAACAGAAACTTGGTACTCTGTATTGATTTATTCCCTGATCTGTGATTTGCCTTGACATCGGAAGGGAATGATTAATTCACTTGCAGAGAGTGGAAATGAACCAGGAGGCAAAGGTTCGCCACTGATATATTTGCGTATGTGTGACTGCACCCTAATGGAGAAAAAAATTATTTGCAGGACTTCACACAAAAAGAAGACGACATCAACTCAGTGGTAAATAGTGTGAACACATTTATGCCAGCCATCCAGCCCACCCATCTCTGAAAACTTTGCTGCCGTTAATAATAGCACTTCATCGCTCAAAAAGTATGTTACCTAGGTTTGTAATTCAAGTCACAGTGTACACTGGTCAGATGTAGCCTTCCTCCATCCAAACTGTGGCTGAGTTAACTGGTGCCTCACCGTACTCAAGGACACTGAACCAGTGGTGTCCCTGATGACTCAATTGTTATCAGTATCTTACAATAAAAAACAAAATGTAATATGTGAAATTAGGTAAATGTAGAATGGTGAAGATTTATTAACGCTATGTCTCTACCATTTCTCTCTCTCTCTCTCTCTCCAGCTTGGTGTCAGTTATTCGAGGTCAGGTGTTGACAGCTGATGGAACACCTCTGATTGGAGTCAATGTGACGTTTGTCCACTATCCTGAACATGGATTCACTGTAACTCGCAAGGATGGCATGTGTGTATTTATTTATTATTTATGTCTATTCACAATATGTGTAACCTCGTGTTTGTGCATCCCTTCATAAAATTGTGTCAACTTGGTTTATTTTTCAAAATTGATGCTTTTCCTTCTCAGTTCACCAAATTACTGTAACTCGAGAATTTCTGGAACATAGAACTACCAGAAATATAAAAGGTACCTGGTGATGTAGATAGAAAAATATTCAACGGGGTTCTGATTACACATCTGTTGCTAAAACAAACCAAGTGGTTTTCTGTTTATGTATTGTATATACTGTTGGATTTCTCACCAGTAAAGTTATTCCACAGGTGCTGCTGTCCATTCTGCACCTCTTGAACATTGCACATTTAGAGTTTCTATCACAACTGTACCACTCGTTCATCACACTCCATCATCCTTAATCATCCCCAGTGTTCTTGGTAGAAAAAAGTTCATTGTTCATTTCATCTGCAATTTTTTTTTTAATTTACAAATACGTTTTTTGCCATGGTGCTAAGGCTTATGTCCCATCGACTTGTTTATCATATCCCTAAAGCACTCATGCACTGTCAATCTGCTTTTACATTTATATGAAGCAGATCAGTGATCAGATTTCTGTTCTACCCGATACTTTGTAGTGTCATTTGCTGTGTGAGAGAGACAGGCAGGCAGAATGAAGCTTCACTGCACAAACTGTCTGAATTTAGACTCCTGCAAAAACCTTTGTAGTCTCTGCAGTAATAGTCTCTTCACATTATGTGTCATATGTTTATGTCAAAAAGCTTTAAATATAGACATTTTATAATTTAGAAGCTGTGTACATGGTTCATTGCCTGGCTGTCATGTCTATTTTGTAAAGATTCAATTCTAGACATATTTTTTATCTGCACTTTGAAGTATAGGCTCTACTTCTTCTTCAATCCACGCCAAGCAATCGCTTCAATCTCAAGTGCATCTGCCAAAGAGCTTGTAATGTGTAAAAGTGTAAGACTAAATAAATTGGATTCACGTGGATGCAATCAATCATTGCAGAACACACATTCCATTACACACACAAACACATCTTTTATTATATATATACACAGGATTTTACATTGGCTTCTGAACCTAATCCTTAACCTGATCACCAATATCTAAACTTACCTCAACCTTAAAATTGGCTTCACCTTAAAATGCCCATGAGGAGTGATAACTGGACCACCCACATGATATGTAATCATATGCACACACAGTACACACACTAAAAATAAATGGGTGGTAATTCACTGAGCCAAAAATGCAATGGAACAGTTTTAGTTAATCAATTACTAGCCAAGTTACTATTGAGGTTAAGTCCTGCTTGCATACATGCTGCAAACACAACTCAGTCAGTAGGTTTGAATGATTTCAATTGATTTAGTTGATAGCAGTGTGTTCAAACCCTACACATGAATTAATCTATGGATCACATTTACATATTTCTTTGTTTGTTTGTGATTGATCTATTGAAGGTTCGATCTCCTGGCTAATGGTGGGGCGTCTCTGACACTGAGTTTTGAGCGTGCTCCATACATCACTCAGTACAGAACGGTGTGGGTGCCATGGAACGTCTTCTATGTGATGGACACACTTGTCATGAAAAAGGTGGGTGGTGTCATTGCCATCTGTGTGGATATTTGTGTGTAATCACAGGGTCACGCACTGATGACGGGCAGCATAAAATTAACTGCAGGAGTCGAGTTTACTGTTTAAAATGTTGCTGGACTTACTTGTGTTTCTTGAAGACATTTCACCTCTCATCCAAAAGGCTTCTTCAGTTCTGTTGAGTGGGAGGTTTCAGGTCTTTGGCCTTTGTGGGTCTGTATCTATGTTTAGAGTTGTCATGTTAAAGGTACAGTGTGTAGAAGTTTGTGATATCTAGTGTTGAAATTGCATGTTGCAGCTGAACACCCCTCACCTCACCCTCTCCTTCCAAACATGAAAAAGAACCTGTGGCAGCCTTTAATTGTCATAAAAACGTAAAAGGTGTTTAGTTTGTCCAGTCTGGACTAATGTAAAAAACATGGATGTAAATATACATTATTTAAATATAAAGGGCATTTTCTGGGGTAAAGAAAACTACAATTCATACAATTTAAATGAAACGAACTAGTGAAAACATCATGAGAATTATTCTACATTAAATTTCTGCCAATAGATCCCTTTCACCTAAATCTTACACACTGGACCTTTAAACAGGTATCGTTTAGACTCTGAAAACCACACACACACAAGTAAAATGCTCTTAGTGTGGTGAACTATGCTAACTAGCTACAGGGGTGTGAATCACGCTCTCGTCAGGGAGGCTAACACATCATATAGATTAAATCTGCCTTTCTTCACTGTCACAACATCCCCTTTGATCCCACTCGCTCCCTGAACTCTCCCCACAAATATAATTAAATGCATTTGATTGAGGGGAAAAAAAGTTTGAAGTCCAGAATTCATTGAATACTTTCAACTGAGGGAAACAAAGAAAAACTAAATGTCGAATTCCAGAATAATCGAATACAAAAAACAAAATGCTTTTTGACACAGAATCTGCTCTACTCAGCTATGACACTTACTCCACTAACTGCATTTTTTTA